TTATTTCAGTCGAGAGGAAAATAAAAAGTTTTAAACTGTACTTAAATCTGGAAGCCATTGCTGGCTTCAAACAGTAAAACTACTGCAAATGTTGAACGTCCGCTCCCACCTCCTCACAGCTCTCAGAAGTTTCCAGCAGTAAGATCTCTGGGGGTACCTTTGCTCCATCCAGCACCCCTGGGTGCACAGTGGATCACCTCCGTCCACACAGCTGGGGACAGCTCCAGCGCAGAAGAGAAGCAGAACGAGCAGACACCAAAACCAGGCTCTGCTCCCTGTCCTGTGGCGTGTCCACAAGCCGATTAGGTGTGCTGGGAAAGCCGTGCTTTCTAAAGACCTATTCTTCACGGCTTCAGCTCATCCTGCGCTTGCAGGAGGATCAGAGGGAGGCCTAATCCTGAAGATTAAGGTCTGAATGTGACTGACAGAGGGAAGCTTTCTGCTCCTTGGAGCAGCAGCACACACAGCACCAGCTTGGAGGGGGTTTCTGCCCGAGTAAGCAAAACCCAGCAAAGTCTGGTGTTTTTCCCAACCAGTTCAGGACCCCATTTGCAAAGGTCAATGCCGGGGTGTCCTCTTTGACTTCATCCATCACCCTGATCGCTTCAAGAAACACAGAGGGGGCTGCCCTGGGTGTCCCACCGGGGGAACTCCATGGGGAGCCACCCTGTGACCCCCTGCATGCAGCTGCAGTGAGAGGGTGGGGATCAGAGACACAAAGCCAGAAGAGCAGTGTAGCTGCTGCTGCAGGGAGTGACGAGCGAGCTACTTGGAAACACCGAGAGCAAAACAGAGAAGTCTCACAAAAATCATCCCAAAGAAAAAAATACACCAGCAAACTTTCTGTGCAGACCACGCCTGCGATGCACATTGCGGGATCATTTTGCACATTACCTGGCAGGTCACCCTCTCCTTTTACAGGCAAATATTACTTTTAAAGGCTGCTAAGAGCCAGCAGTGGTAATGCACTCAGGTCAGGATTTTCCTATTCCAAAAAACACTGTTTCATGACAAAAAGACACTCAGGAAAATATTCCTTCTTCCTTAGATTGCATTGAGGATGTGATCCACCCCATGCCTCTGATGGCTGCAGTTGGGGGGAGGCAGGAATATGGGGTGCCAGGCTGGATGCTGCCCCAGTACAAGGCAAGGCCACACAACACCATTACCAGCCCGGGAAAAGCAAGCACAGTGCTGCTCAGGTTTACATGCACCATCCATCACTTGCTGACCATGTTGTTTTCTCTTTGCACACTGGTATGGAAATTTAACTACAAACTATTCCCCGATGGGCAAGTATAGCTTTAAATGACTTCTCTAGGAAAGAATCCTCACTATTTTATACAAATTGTCTTGCATGTTTATTACACAGAATCATGATCCAAAAAGCAGAGGGACTCATCCCATGCCTATTCGTAGCACTGCTCTCCCTTACGCATTGCGAGCTGGAACACACTCCAGGCCCTCTTGCATGATGAATGATACCTACTTTGCTCTTCGCTTCCAGCCAGCTCCGATTTACTTATTGATGGAGCCTCAGTGCACTGACAGGAACCCTCCTCTCCCAGCTCCTCCATGAGCCAGAGCACATCACAGGCACTGGGCTCACAAGGGGCAGTTTAGAGAAGGAGCAAGGGCTAAAACTCTGCTCCTGGCCTTGCTGCTGTGCAAAGGGAACCTGGGACCGCTCCAGAGGTTCTGCACTGCAGGGCGAGTGGGAGGAAACAAGGCCCCGAACAGCCAAGCCAAACACCGGGAGGTCAAATGCTACAGCACGGCTTCTCGGAGATGAGACATGAGCCCCAAGGCAAGCCCACTCATCTGCTGGCGCAGGAGCATCTCTCAGAGCTTTGCACTAACACCACCGCAGCCAATACTGGCTCCTGGCCACGCTGCTGCCCTCCCAGCGGGAGGCTTTTGCAGCCAGGGTGGGAGGAAGGCGCCAGGGTGGAAGGCGCTGGGGTGGGTAGTTCCAGTGCAGAGCGCAGCCCTCCCCTTCTCCAGCAGCATGGTATGTATGGCTTCGGAAATAATTCAGTCTTCATTAACTTGTCAAATTAGCAAATTGAGAGCTGTCAAAGTGTAGCGAAGATTGGAGGTGGCTGTTATAGCAAGTCGTAGGATCTCCCACTGTTTGTCTAATCTAATTTCCTTGCCATCGTTGTCCTAAGAGAATCATTACAAGAGACAGAGACGTAGAGAGATGAAGACATGAATGCTTTCCAACTGAAAGCACCTCCCTTCGCATGTCGGTGCAGATGAGAGGGTTTATATAAACTGCTCAGGATCAGTAATTTTCCTCTGCCACAGCCCCATTTGTTTTGAAACAACTCCTAAGCTCCATCCCCTCTGGTCAACCCTGCCACAGGAAGAATATAAAAAGTTATTTCTTTTGTATTCCCGTCAACTGCAAAGGCAGAGCCTTCTCTGAGCTCCTTCTGACCCGCAGAGCTTTTGTGTTCATGGCTCTGAAGTATTAAGTTAGTTAATTATTGCCAAGGAGAGTGCGCCAACCTCTCCTGAATCTGCCTTGCTAAAATAAAGGTACACAGAAGACCAAGTTATGCCTGTAGCACGAAATGGCTTTGAACTGAAGGCGCTTTGATGCACTCCTCTGCAGCAACCAAGCAGCATTGCTAAGGCACATCACACCACGTAAAAGTACCTTCTCCTCCACTTGTTCCTCCTCCTCCTCCATGCTCCTTTTCAACACTGCTCTCCAAAACAAAACTGCACCAGCATCTCCAGAGTCTTCTGGAAAAGCAGCAAGTGAGGCCAGACACCTCCAGCCTCTGCAGCCAAAATGAAGCCCTGGAGGAACCAGTTGCTGCAACACCAGAGAGAAAACTGGTGTCCAGCAACAGCCCCAAACCAAGTAAACTGAGAGTCAATACCATCTGGAGAATGAAAGGTTAAAGCCATACCAGCAACTGGTTGGGGATAGGCTTTTGAGGCAAAGCAGCCATCCCTTGCCTGCTAATTGTTATGTTTTCCAAAGATTTCATCAACCAAGTTGTGTTCAACAAACTGCTATTTAATTACTGGAGTAGAATCCTGTTAATTAGCCAGCCCCAGAAGGCTGCCCTGCATCCCTGTTCAGTGAAATTCCCAACTAATCCTTCCAGCAGCCGTTGTGTCACAGCCTGGGGAGCCACCAAGAGCTCTCAGAGATGCCCCAAAGCTGGGGGGGACGATCAGAGCTCAGCCCCCACCTCTGCCAGAAGCCATCCTCAGCCCTGGGACGGTGCAAAGCAGCACAAGAAGTGCAGCACTTGATGCAGCTTGGAAAGTCAGTGATAAAAAATAACCTAAGCAAGGCTACCTGGTGTATTTCACATACAGTCACTGCAGTGTGAATTGAAAAACGCCATAATTAAACTGGTAATAGTCTCTACACTTTTTATTTTGAAACCTCACTAATTCAAAAATAACTCAATTATTAATTGAATACATTAAAGAGATACTACTAATAAACTTAAGGACTCCTTTGTGATTTAATAACAAAATTATTGAAAAATATTTTTAACTCATGAACAAGACATAGCTAGCTTCTAAGAGAAGAAGTTTCACTGAAAAATGCACAGGTGTAAAAGAGCAGGTCCAGTAACCTTTAATCTAAAAGCAGTTACAGAAGCAAGACATTTGGATTTTAGAAAATTTAATTAATAATGCTCATTAACTGCAGTTTTAATTCATAAATACAGATCAAGTTATAAAAAAAACAACAAACAAAACCAAAAAAACCCCACCCAAACCCAAAAAAACCCTAAAATATGCAATTCTTATTCTTAAATTGACTTGGTTTTAATGGCTGCCTCGTAATACACTGAAGATGTGGAAATCACTGCAGCTTGAACAGTTGCCAAGCAAGAACCTCCCACCAATGGAGTGGAGCTCAGTGGAGCGTACGCTCATCTCTACCTTGCAGCTTCTTTTTGTAAGAGGAACAGCATATTAAAACAAAGCAACACCTCAAATAATTAACAGACAAATAAGAGATCAGCACATTTGGTATTCATATTTCTGCTAGAACACAAAATCCACTTATTTTCTGTATGTTTTTAAAAGGTCACTTAGGAGTCACGATGGCTGGACACTACATGCAATGGGATCTCTTTGCACTGAAGCCAGCAGCAGTTGTGGTACCGACCTTGGTGGGTGCTGGCAGGGGCCTAAAACACTCACCCAAGTGTGAGGGATGATGGATCCAGTTAGTCTAATGCGTTAGAAATGATTCATGGCACTCATGAATGTACAGAAAAACATCATAAGAAAGCATACAATATAAAAACACTAAAAAAATCCTATCCCCGCTTAAATAAGAGGTGTGGAGTTCACGGGTTTTCCTACTGCAAGGACTCATTGTAGTCTGAACAGGGGCGTTTCTTCAATCCCTGCAATTAAAGCCCTCGTTAACACATCTCACAGAGGGTCAGTCCCCATATAAACCTGTTCTCTTTAGTTGCTCGTTTAGCCAACACTTCACTATTTACTTCTACTGTATGTGTGCCCTTGTCAGTGCAAGACCAGATTATATTGAATATTAGAGTAAGCGCAGCACAATTTTTTTCTCTCTTGGGACAAAACCAGTGAGTAAATCTTAACATGATAGGAATGTTTTAAACTGAAAATTGAAAACACATTTCACCAAGCCAGTATTCCTCTGCCTACAGCACATCTAGGAAGAGCAGCACACCATCTCTGTGCACGTTTGCGTTTGACCAAGAGCAGTACAGAAGAAATGAAAGCCTTCTATCTTCATGAAATCAGACTGAAAAAACAAGTGGCTAAAATACCTTTTTTAAAAAACGGTGAAAATTTTAAAAAAACCCAAACAACCAAACCAGAAGTAATGAATTGCGGATTTAGAGGCACCTGGTTTTCCTCATTTTCCCGGTTTGAAGTGTTAGAAACTCAAAAGGGTCCCTGCATGTAGGGCTTCTTGTCCAGACCACCTCAAAACACCAAACAATAATGAAGGAGCTTGGCACAGGCTGCTCCTAATGTTTTCCCCGCCGGCCTTCAAAAGCGTGATGCTCTCTGTGTGCTAAGGAAGGAAAAAAGAACAAAAGAAGATGTAAACTTTGCTGAGGAGTTGAAAAGATTCAAATAGAAGACAATATATAGGCAGTCAAGGCAGACAAAGCTTGCCAACTTTGGGAATATTGGAATTCTGCTAATACATTTATACAGAGCCTAAGGGAAGCGATCCTTTCAAATCCTGATTGTAAACAGTTCCTCTAATGAATACCTAAATTGGAAAGCGTGCAGTCTTCAGAGTTACCAAGAGATTTGTCTGACTCAGGTTAGCAATCAGGCATATTAAACCAGATATAGTCTAGAATTAGACGTATCCTATCTTCTGAATGGTGGCTAACTTACACTAGAGACAAAAACGTGTATTTCTGAAGCAATAATTTTATTGCAATGAGAGATCCTACACTTCCAAATGGTTAACGATGAATCAGAAAAGTGATTCCCATGGCAGCACCCTACCAGCATTGTGTTTATGTAATGAAGGTGGACATTAACAGCACAAAATACTTACATTTATAAAACACTGCTTTAAAAGACGTCTGTGGCAGGAGTTTATGTATCTTTTCTAAAACTTTTGCTTCGCTTGCTAACGAGGCATTCCCGTTCCAGACTTGCACAACATCTTCACGGTCACGAACGCTGACGCTAACCCCGATTACTTCATCATCTGCACAGAAGAGGAAGCATCATTCAGGAATGCTTTAAAAGTGAGACATATCTAATTTGATACTTATGCTTTACGAAACAGCGCCCAAAAGCTGAACAAACCGAAGAGATGAAAAAGAGCAATCTCCAGTGAGGAGAATACCAATTTTCAAACCAGACTAAATAGTTACCAGAAAGAAACAAACACTGTATTTATAGAAGCTATTGGAAATATTACCTCATAGTGGCTTTAATGAAGTGCCACAGGATTATTCATCTTTGCTTTAGCACTCCTACCCTTGATTAGAAGGGAGTCACAAGGCTCCCTTCAGTAAGGTCAGCAATATAAACTACTAAAGGCAATGTATCTACAGTAATGTCTATTAGCAGAAATGAGGGGTGAAACAACTAAAACCCCAGGAACAGCACCTGGGGAGATCAGACACCAACTTTTCCAGACTTCGCTCTTTTTCCTTTACATTTTGTCAAGGCAGTAGCAGCAAAAAAAGTGATTAAAAAACTAAGCCCCAGTCAGGCTGCTGCTGCCAGCGTAGGTAACTCCATGCTTTACCGAAGAACCATTTTTTGGTGTAAAATTCCCAGAACACAGCTTTGTGGAGAGCTCAGCCTAAGGCCATGCCCCACTCCAGTGGGGACCTCCATGGCACGGCTGCACCAGGAGCTGGGCACTGCTGAGCCCAGGAAAGGGGTCAGGAACGATAACGCAAAGTGGTGCCGAGAACACGTGGCAAAGGGGAAAAATTACCTTTGTGGGCAGCAGAATATCACGGATTTGCTTAAACTGACCCTGAGCCCACCCTATCAGTGCCAAGGGCAGGAACACTCCCTCTTGTATTGACTCAATACCCAAATTAGAAATGTGCCTGGGAGGCAAGGATCCAAGCCTTGTATTCTGCTTCTTGCAATGAGAAATACACTATTGGAGAAACTTGTTCAACAAAACTCTTGTAGAAGAAAAACAAAGCCACCAAAGTGAATATACCAGCAGCAGCCTACTGCAATATGCCTGCTCTACCACATTAACTGGGTTTGACAGAGAAACCCTTTGAAAGGCTCTTGCTGAACTGCTCTGCAAAGCCAAAAAACTCAATTCTTTTCTCTGGAATGCTAAAGCAATGAAGGAACACTCCTAACAGGATATTCACCATCGCTGCAACAGCCAGTCTAATCAGATAGGAGGGATTAATCCACATTTAGGAGGGAGTCAATATGATATTGTCAAAAAGTGATGGGAAAATGCTGTGTCAAACTGAAAAGTTAATTTAAGAGCCAGTTTCTAGAGCATCTTCCCTCTAGGCCAAGGGATCAGCAAGTTCATCATTTGCTTCACCCAGAAGGAAGAAACAGCTCTGTAACAAAACCTTAACAAATTCAACGGCCACAGACTTGTACTTGCTTTTCAGGACTAAGAAACAGCATTTAATGATCCATCTCAAGCCAGCAGTGTTCACAGTCCCTTCCCGGTCCATTTCCAAATGCAAGCCTAGAGAAGGTATTTATTCTGAAAATAATTTTGTTGAATTATGACCTCTGATCAAAATCACATGTGAGCTTCTGGATGATTCATGGCTGTTTTCCAGTAAACCAGCAAGGTATTTTAACCTTATTTATGTAAATTCAATCCCACTAAAGATGACTTTGACCTAAGCAGTACTTTTAAGCGATAATGAAAATACTGCCTCTGGGTAGAGTGCTAACCTGGGATTTGGGAGAGCAAGATTTGGTTTATTGCCCTCCTATGGGCTTTTGTGTCACCCCAGCCAAACCATGCAGCTTCCCCCTGCTTCGAGTCTGCACTGAGGCTTCCTTACAGCTCCCAACCCCATTAGGGGAACCAGGAGAGACCATGAGGGCTAATGGGGACACCTGTCTAATTTAGTTGTTTCCAGCTGTGACGGTACAAACAATCCAGTATGGAAATATAATCTGGGGGTCCAGAATCCTGGCATTGTAGAATTAATATTAATTGTCTAAATGCCAGTTATCAGATATTCAGTAACCAGAAACCCTGCTGGCTTCCCAAGGATGCAAGCTGGTGATCTTGAATCTTGTGCTATGACAGTCAGAATGCCTTCTCTTAATCACAACAGGTAGGAATGTGATTTCCAGCCCTGTTCCCCATTTTCAGCAGTGTTTCCATGTTCTGCATTCAAACTCTGTATTTGCCATGCTAGCCTCAATATTTTTAAAAGTTACCTGCTGCACAACAGTCCATAAACTGCTCTCCAATAGTTGCCAGCAGTAGCTCTTTCCAAACTGCAGCCTAAAGAGAGGGGAAAAGGGTTACATTTGTGTTATTTATCAGTTTAAAAATTCATTTTGCTAGCTCAGTTTTGAGTGCATTCTCCTTCTGAGCTTGTCATGGCAAAAGAAGTGTATTTACTGTAAGTACACGCTGTGTTAGATAATTAATTTCTTCAATACAGTTGGACCAAGAATTTAGACCCTGAAAACACATACTATTAACATGGAATTGTTCTAATAAATACTTTTAAATATTTAACAATAAGTTTGCCTCCGCTGTGCCCATGACTCAGCCTGAATGCCGTAGATAATGTGAAGCGTGAAAGTAGCTTTCTCCCAAGAATTTCCCATGATAAAAAGACCAAAAGGCTCCACTCATTCCTACAGAAAAGAATTGCTATGCACTTTAAGAAAAGTACCTGAAAACCCTACTGGTAAATTAAAATATAATAATATATTCAATAATATATAATAATATATTTAATAATAGACAATAATGTATTTAATAATATATAAATTAAATATATATAATATACAATATA